AGCTTCCTTTTCTTACTCAGGTAATGGCAATTCTGAATACAATTCCGGTCTTGGCAGTAAGAAAACTGGCAGTCCAAGGTGGTAGCTCCCTTGGCCTTTCCCTCCCCAGCTGTGGATGTAGCTGCAGGGGCCCTAGGAAAAGGAGTCAGAGGGTCTTTCCTGGCTGCACCTCCTACCCTCTCTTCTCCGCCCTCTCACCATGTCTGCATATCCGCAAGTTCCATCCAAGTACCTTGACGTGGCCCTTTTGACAGCAGTGGGATGCACTGGTCTGGCTCTTGAAATTCCAAGGGCACTGATTTTGTGGCTCTAGGAGCCCCTGTGATGCCTGCTCCATAGTCATGAGCCACAGCGACCTCACTGCTGAGCCCAGTGTTAGTCCCCAGGACACTAGGCAGGTGATTGCCTCCCAGACTCCATGCTGAGGAGGGGAATAAATGATCTTTTATATCTGTTTCAACCTTTTGTGATCACAAGTACTTCCATGGGCATTTCAATCTGATTCTAACAGCCTTATCTGGGACTAAGGAGGGTGGGTGTAATGTCACTGCCATTTTACAGATAAGAAAATAAAAACACAGAAGATGCCCCATGTTGGAAGAATAATGGGGGGAGTCAATATAAGGCACTGTTGAGTAGTACTATTACTCAGAGTCCTAGTTCTACAACTACTATTGCTAAAACCAACAGCAGCAATAGCAGCTTATGAATACTATGTTTATGACTCCTGACAGAAAGAATTCAGTACACAATATTAGAAAAGCAATGCTCCTAATTTAATTTTGTAACCAGTTAATTATTCTCTGGCAAGTATCTCCTTTGAACAGTATCAGCTACATAATTGTGGGACCCAGTGCAAATGTGGGACCCCTTTTTCAAAAATTAAGAATTTTAAGACCATGAAAACAGAACATTAAAGCAAGCATGGAGGCCTTCTAAGCACAGAGCCCTATGAGACTGTACAGGTCACAGGCCCATGAAGTTGGCCCTGCTTCTGAACCCAAGACATGCTTAAATCTTAGTATGACGTTTACCTGTAGGAACAATGGAGGAAACATGTTACTGGCTCTCTTATTTGTGTCAATGCATGAAAACTTTTGGTTTTGTTACCTCTTGTAAATCTCCTATTTCATCAAGAGCATCAGAATCAGAGAAGTGCCACAATGCCTGGATGACAGTGTAGGTTTTTCTTCACTGATTCTTCCCAGCCCTCCCACTTCCAAGCCAGGAAACACAGAAGAATACTAAAAAACCCATCAAATGATAATTTAGATGAAATGTATAATGTAATGTTTGTTTATTTAAGTGTGCTATGATAAATTTTTAAAGGACAGTCACATCTTGTTTTTGTAAGCACAGTAATACACATAAATGATATTTTCACTAGCTTGATGTCTGGAATTTGGTTGTCTGCCCTCTGTGGTGTTTTTTTTCTTGGAAAATGGTTTACTGTATTTAACCAATTCTAAGATGTGTATTTGTTTCACATTTTCACATCTCTGAAATCGAATGCTCCTTATATTCAATGGCATTTTACAATCACTGTTGGCCATCAGGCAGTTGAAAGGGACTTGTCATTGCCTGTGAATACTCAAATTGGCCATGTCTATTGTAGTATTGTGATATATAACAAAAAAATATGTCTAAACAGCTGAAAAAAGCTCTCTCAGTAAGTATAAAATTAAAATTCTATGGATACGAAAGCATTACATTATAGTTTATTTGGAAGTGGTTTGTTCCATTAAAACATAATTACATAAACAAGCATCTCAAATGTGATTAAAAACTTCGTATCTTCAATCAAATGCAATATCCACCACTGACAGTTTTGAAGAATTTGAAAAGCTTCATGTGCACTCACTGAGAAGCCTCCCAAAGTTCATACTGGGAAAATTTCCAGGTACTAATAAAGGACTACTTTTTAAATATTCTTAATGGAATATTGTTTTTTTACTTTTTCCTGCTTGCAACCAGAAAGTCCCTAACCTGGAAATCCAAACATTAATAAAAGAGACAAGCTACATCAGAATACCAATGAATTGGGCCAGATTAGTGGGCAAATCAATTTTTCCTGTGGTCACGCTTTTGAAGAAAGCTAGAGAATTCCAATATAAGCTCTAGAGCAGCACTGTTATCTAATACATACAATGCAAACCATATATGTAATTTTAATTTCCACGTCGCAACATTTAAAAAGCTTAAGAAGCAAGTGAAATTAATTTTAACATTGTTATTTAACTCACTGTATCCAAAATACTATCATTTCAACATGTAATATATATAAAAACATCAATGAAATGATTTACTTATGTTTGCCCTGTCTTTGAAACCTAATATGTATTGTATTTTACAGTTATAATATACTGCAGTTCACACTAGCCACATTTCAAATGCTCAATAGCCACACATGGCTAGTGGCTCCCATATTGGACAATGTAGGTCTAGTCAATACATGCATTTATCAGCAAAACAAAATAGCCCCTTCCAGAACATTTTGCTCAGACACGATCAGTCATAGAAGCATTTGGCAGAAATTCAAGAGTGGCAGTCAACAACACGGAGCAATGCTGCTGAACATAGTCTATAACAGTGGTCTTCAAACAAGACAATATGTGAATTCTTTTCAGTAAGTATGTGAACATGGAGAGTTTGCAGGGAATTCACTCTCAAAGTCTCAACTTCCATGTGTATTCTCACCTAAACCTGATATACTTATGAACAACTTTTTTTCCACTTATGATTCGGCATTACTTTGCAGCTATTCTTAAAAATAATCACTTAAATATGTCACTAACTGGAAAGAAAACCACCGCCTAACTAAAATCCATATATACTGCTGATGTTGATTTTTTAAAATATAACTGGAATGTTTTCCTGTACTACAAAATGTTCATACTGCTAAAATTTATACATAGAAATTGCATATGATTTCTTTCAGATAAGGTACATCATTCAGTTAAAATAGTTAAAGCCTGTTTTCTCTGAATGTATCTTGAAATCTTTTTCAACTAAACTCAATCCTTATTTCATTTTATAAATAATTACATGTTTTCTACCCCCCATTATCAAAAATAAAATATGGTAGTTGCCAGAGTAATTATTTTTTAGCTATATACACTTCTCTTTCATAAAATATGGTTGAAAAGGTTGATTCTGTGGCCTTATTAATGGATTTTTAAATTTTTATACATGATTCTTAGTAAATTATTTCCAGAAATCCAACACCAGAGTTTTAAAGTCACCTTCACACATTTACCAAAGGAAGCTATGCCTGCCATCAGATTCCTTGTTTCATGTATGAATTATGTTAGCTACATATTATATTTACTTAAAATTACATGTGAGAAACAAAATTATTATTTAATTTCTTAATTTATTTTGAAGTGGATAAAAATCTCATTATCATTTAACTCTATTTACTTTGTTAGTAAACTATTTAACAAGCAGTGTTCCATAATTGATTTCTCCATGGTTTTAATAATACTCTTTAGAATGAATATTGATTCATTTTTTCCATTGAAAAATGAAGTCAGACACTTTTCTGAAGGTAAAGCTGATTTGGCTGATTATTTTGATATAAAAATTGCCTTTGCTAATTACATTTTATTAGAAATATACTTCTTAATGAAACTGCTGATCCAAATCTGCAGCCTCAAAGTTATATATTTAAATGATAATAAATTAAAGGCATTTTATCATAATCATTGTATTGGCTGAGGCATATTTATCTAAGTATTTTTTATAGACTTAAAATAATGCCTCAAAATGAAAGTATAACAGATGTAGTAACTGTTTGCCAAATCTTGGTAAGGTCATTTTGGTAAACTTCTCAGAAACTCAGAAATAAATGATTCATCAACAAATCCTTTTATAAATTGGGACTTTTTGCCTTCATTGAATTAAACTTAGACCTAATCAAGTTGTCTGTTAAAAATAAAAAGTTTTAATAAAAAATTAAAACATTACAAATTATTTTCAATAACATCACTATACGATTTTTAACCCGTGACTTGCACACTCATTCCATTCCCTTCTACTAAATTATAAGAACAAAGTCTCCTGAGTTCTTATATTTAGAAAAGTGAAAACTAGGGATAATATTTATACTACACTCTGTCTCATTAGAAGTAAGTAATAGATCCATCCTCAGAGGCATGAACTAATTTGGGGGAAGACAAACAATCATATTCACCTAAGGCATGCATTTTCAATCAAATTCCAGTTTTCATTTTTAATAGTTACTTATCAAACTGTATAATATTTTATACTGTTCTGATAAGCTGTTTATTACTATTAACTTAATGACAAAAAATTTAATACTTAGAGGCTTGGAGTTTCAGCAAAATTTATTTCAATACATATATACTTTTTGCCAAGGTGTATGGTAGGGTGACCAATAAAAGATCTTTAAACATAAAAATGTATTACTTAAAGATAAATTATGTGAGAGAAGCTGAATGGAATGGTGATTTCAGGGAGACAATAAAATCATGAACATGTCTGACTGTTCCTGGCTTTTTCCTTATTTGCTTTTAAATTAACAGTGATAAGTGTCAAATTACTGGTAATTTTAGTTCATTGAATGCATGCCAAAATGTGATTAAATCATTTTATTTAAAAGTATAAATATTTATAACAGGCTGGAAATGATAACTCTACAAATACTTAAACTTACGATAAATTCCAGATTCTAACTGCAAGATGTGTGATGGGGTAGATAGTCTTTCAAAATTATTTTAGGCAGCCAATGATTAGAAAGTTTGAAGACCACTGCATCAGAACACAGTTTCAATGAAGCCCAGAGGAAAACTGAACAGAGGAAAGGAAATTAAGGGAAAAAAATTCTTTTTATTTTATTAGTGTTTTAAATTTCTGAACACAGCAGAAAGCCCTATAACTTGATGTCTGCATACTAGTTGATTTGCCAGGGCAGTTACACAACCTTGCAGTGGGTGAAATTTTAGGGATATTTCTGAGCAATCCACAAATACTGTACTTACTCAATATGGTCACCAGGTGGCAAACGGGCACTGGGCAGGGATCCCTCTTCCCCCACCAGCTGGCTCTCTCCAGCTCCCATCTCCTGCAAAAAAGGAAAAGCGTACGAGTAACGGTGACAACTGCAACAAACAACAACAGCCGGAAATATTTCCTTTAGGTCTTTCCATCTGTCAGGAACAATAATAATCCCCTATTGTCTCTGAAAATTTCAGAAATGGCCTTGTCTGCAAAGGTAATCTATACCCTTCATGAATACCATTTACAGAATGTGAATACACCTCTACAATATAACCATGCAGATTGACCACAAAACCCAAACACTATTCCAGCCAAGAACTTCAGAAGCTCTAGCAACACCAAAAAGCAGCTGCTGCAGCAGTATCTCTATCATTCCAAGCATGGGGCTAAATCATGCATTTTAATGAATCTTCAAACAGCTCTCGGATAGATGCTAATATTACCCCCATGTTATGGATGAGAAAGCAGGAAAATGGCCCACTGAGCTAGTAAGTGCTGGAGCCAGGATGCAAACATGGGTTTGGTTTGTTTTCAAATTCTAAAGCCATGCCCTTCAATATCATTATACTGTGTGATATCTTGGTGGGGTGTATGTGTGTGTGTGTGTGTGTGTGTGTGCATCTGTCTATGTATCTTTCTGTATTTGGTTATGCACATTTACAGTTCTGTGCTTCCGTGTGATTCTATGTCTGTGATTCTGTGCATGTAGAAGTACGTGTGCTTTTGGGTGTGTGTGCACATGGTGCATGCCAGATCTTTAAGACATTTTTCTGGTAATTTCCACATCTGCTTTTATAAGTATAGCCACCAGAGGTAGCTCATTAATTTTCATTTTCTCTTGAAGAGGCTAGGAAAAAGGTACTTAAAAGTCACAGCCTCCTTTGAAAAAGTGCTTGTGAGTTCTTTTATATGTGGTTGAATCTCTGTGTTTTCATATGTATAAATCTGCATGTGTCTCTATGTCTGTGCATGTGTAAGTTTCTGTTTCTGTTTGTAGCATAATTAAGTCCATGTATGCTTTTATATGTTGGCAGGTGTATATGTGTGTGTGCATTCATATAATCAATGTACATTTAGGACTGAATGCCAAATGGCACAGGAGTACATCTGTAGAGCAGTGTGTGTGTATGCACATGTGCACACTCCAATGTGTATTTATGTTGACATGTAATGTGTGTCTGTGCATATGTGCATGTGTGTGCCTGTGCTTATGTCTGTATTTTTAGTGTGTTTAGGTCTGTGATGTCTGTAGATATGTGTATGCCTCTTATCTTTATATGCTGTGCACTTGTGCACCCCTGGGTGGGTATACTTGGCTTCTGTTTGTACATCTTCATGTGCAGTTATGTGTCTGAATATGCGTGTGCATTTACAGAGCTGTGTGCAATGCCTGTAAGGGGGTTTTGGAGTGTGGCACCATATGAGTGGGTGAAGTCTTCTCCTCTTTGGGGACAGTATCCGTGTTTATGTGTACCTATGTAAGTCTATGTGATTGTACCTGTATCTACATGTAAGTCTCTGCATGAGTCCATGTGTATGAGACAGCATCTAGGTCTGTATGAACATGCTTAGTCCTGACATTTACTGCTTGCAAATATTCACCTGCACGAGTTACTGCACATTCGTGTGTCCATGTGTACACAATAGCTGTGTGTGTGTGTGTGTGTGTGTGTGTGTGTGTGTGTGTGTGTCTAAGTGGGAGTCTATGTGTCTATACCCATACAGTCTTGCCTGAAACCTCTTTATCTATGTCTAGGTGCTTCTATACTCACATGTCCATGCCTGGGTCTTCATCCATCTGCGTTGTTTGTATATCTGTGTGACCATCTCCATGTCTAAGGGGGCATATATGTGTGAGTCTGCATAAATCTGAATGAGAATGGCTAGCTATGGATGACTCTGGGTGAATGAATCTGTGTCTGCGTGCACGTGTTTGTGTTGCTGAGTGTATGTGAGGGCCTTATTTGCATGGGAATTGTGCATGCCTGTGTAGACATGCATGTCTCTGTCCTTGGGTTGGTTTGTGCACGCCTTTGTAGAATGTACACTCATCTGTCTTTGCATGCATACATATGACTGTACACACAAGTGTCTATGCAAGGATACGTCTGTGAAGCTGTGCTGGACTCTGCTGGTGTGGGCACACACATTTCTATGTCTGCATGCACTGCTCAAGAGACACACATGCTTCTGTGTGTATCTGTGTGCCTCTGTGTTTGTTCAGGTGTATGTTTCTGGGCCTCCATGTCTATCTGTACATCTGTGTGGAATGCCTGCATGTGTGTGTATGTATATATGCTTCTACATGAACCTGCACAAGCCTCTGTGCCCGTCTTTGTGAGTCTATGTGGGTGTGCGTCCATGTACATATCTATCTCTGCACACACGCCTGTGTATCTGCACGGGCATGTGACTGTGAGTGCTCCTCTTGCACACCTGAGCGAGCCTCTGTGTGAGTGCAGCTGTGTTTGTCTGTGTTTAGATTTGTGTAGGTCTTAAGGTATGTGTCTATATGTGTGGGTATTTGCTTCTGCATAGGGAAGATGTATCTCTCTAAGTGTATATACCACCGTCTAAGTGTGCATCTGCAGGTGGAGATCTCTTTGTCAGTCCATCTCTGTTTTGGCTGTGTGTATGTATATGTCTCCATGTTCAAGTGCATTTATGTGTGCACACCTGTGTGCTTGTGTATTTCTATATGTACACCCACATGCATGAATATTCCCATGTGCACCCCTTATACATGTTCATGCATGTGTGTGCACACATTCACTTGTTGTCATGGTAAGCATAAGCACCTATGTGACATGTGCAGGCATAAACATGTTTATGTATGTGTGTTTTAACAACAGCTATGCCTCTGTGTGTATATGCTTGTGATTCCATGAACATGAAAATGCCAGTGGGTACATGTTTAAAACACGTGCATCTACCTATGAATGAATCTCCATGTTTCAGCGTTTGTGTCAATGTCTCCATGTCTCTGCATATCAATAAAACACAGACACCACCATCTGCATACGGATGACTCTCTGCCTCTGTGGATATATGTATACACAGGGAAACATGCATGGATTTGTATGCTTGTCTACATTTTTGCATAAATGTCTGGGAGTGTCTGAGAATCTGTGCCTCATGAGCCTCTAGAAGCATTTATGTGTTTTTGTATGTGTGTATGTGTGTGTATCTGTGTTTGTGTACCTTTGAGGTTATGAATCAGTACACACATCCTCTGGATGCTTAGGTTGGCATATATATGTCTTGGCATGCTCTGCGGGGTCTATGCAAGTGTAGAGTGTATATTTATAACTACATGGTGCTTTGTGTCTATGTACAGAACTGTGGGCACTTGTGTATATTTGTGTGTATGCTTATGTGTATCTGTGTGTACTTGAGATGACCACTGTTAGGACTCTGGGTTTATGTTCATATTTGTACAAACAAATGTCTTTGGCTGTGGTTGTAAGAAGAGTCTGGGCTTATGACACACCTGTAGGTCTGAGTCAGTGTGAACCTCTATGGCACTCTGTGTGTGTGTGTGTGTGTGTTTATTCTGGTGTATATATACTTGTCTATGATGAATGTGGGAGTATAGATGTGAGCACTCTCTTTAGGAAAGACTTCTCTGGCCATTTCCACACCTGCTTTTCTAGGATCAGCCAGCAGAAGGGGCTTGAGATTTTCTTCCTACTCTTGAAGTAGCTGAGAAAATAAACATTAAAAAACAGCTTCTTTGAAAAATGTTGATTATTGAGCCTGGTAACTATAGTATAATAACACAGGCTTTTTATAATCTGAAGACAAAAAGCTGGTGGCAGCTTAGTCTTCAAATCCCACTGCCACTGGGGACATTTCTGTCTGAGACCCTGGCATGTTCTTATCTTCCTGCTCACCTCTGGCCCAAGTCAGGGCCCACATGCTGCCTCCTGGGGGTCCAAAGCCCGCACCATTGAGGAGGCCATATGGCCAGTAAGTGGCAGAGGCAGAATTCAAAAGCAGGCCTGACTGACAACAACATATTCCTTCTGCTCTACCACTGACCATTGCTACTATGGAATGTGCCAGGTTCCAGTGCCAGGATGTGGTTTTGCCAGGACTGGGAGCAGGCATGTCTACCTTCAAACACTGTGCTCTGAACCTTTAGTCTTTTCTGAGATTATCTCACTTAATTCTTGGAGTAGCCTAAAAAGAAGTATTTTGTCCATGTTTACAAATGGGTATGCAGATGTAAAGAAGTGAGGTCATTTGCCAAAGCTCTGTAGATCCTCTCTTCATATGCTATGCAGCAACATATTGTGACAAATAAATGTGATAGAGTGAGTTTGTGCCTCATGAAGTGAATCTGAATGTTCTAGAGTGAGCATATGTACTATGCTGCTCTTTTTAGTGTTGTGAGGCCTTCTGAGTGTTGTATAGCAAGTCTGGGTATTATTAGGGGTGTCAGTGAAGTTTGGGGCAGTACTGTGGGGTGAATATGTGTGCCGTGGATCATGCCTTCCTGTGCATAGCTTGTTTCTGCATTGCGGTATGAGTCTATGAGGACTGTAGGGCGAGTCTTGAGTGTTCTGGGCAAGTTTCTGGGTTAGGCGGCATGTCGCTGTGTAGATGTTGTGGGGTGAGTCTGTGTATTCCAAGTTAGGTCTCTGGCTGTAGAGCTAATCTCTGTGCTGTCGTATGAGGCTGGATGGGGTGGAGAAAATCTTTTTATTACAGAAGAAGTCTCTCTGGATTAGTGGGTTGATTCTATATGTTTTGTGGATATAAGTCTTATGTTGTGGATGAGTCTGTCTAAAGGGAGTTAGGTCTAGGTGTTAGGGGGTACGTATGTGGGATGTGTGAAGTTGGTGAATTGTAGGTCCTATAAATGGGTTTCTTATGCTGTCAGTCTGTGACTACTATGACTGAACTTGTTTTCTACACTAAGGCTGTGGATTGTGGGTTGTCTCTATGAATTATGAACCCTGTGAGTCCTGAGCATCTGGTTTGGAGTGCCTGTGCTTTGTGAGAGTCTGAGTGTTGTGACTTTAGGGCTGTAATTTTTGGATGCACTAGTGGGGAAGTCTA